TCAGTTAACAAATGTTAAATGACCTTCTATGGTCATTTGAATGTGAAATGACCCAATGACTGGTCACTAGTCATTTGGGTTATTTCAAGTCATTTACCATCCCTGCCCTAAGTGCAAGCCGTAATCAACCAATCAGATTTAATAAACTGCTAATATCTACCTACCGCTTTATATCATTAACCTCACGGTAGCTACAAGTAGTTACCAGTGGTAGATAACTACCGGTAGCTACCAACTCACATCACTAGATGCAGTAGAATCGTCCCAATGATGTTACGGCCTAAGTCGTAACTAACTAAAAGCTTATGTCGCAACTCATTACGGCAAATCATTGGGATGATTCTACTGCATCTAGATCATTGACAATTTTTCAATTGTCACAAGATTTATGATGATAGCGCAAGGTCTTTTTTATATGCAGCGATCATCAAAACCACAAAGCTTATCGTTATACTGTAATAGACTGTTTATAGACCGATTTATGGACCGGTCCTGGACCACGGTCCAGTCCGCGGTCCTCTGGTAGGACCGGTCTTTAGGACCCAAGATCGAACTGAGGCGGACTGTAACATCCCTAATCTTGACATGATGAGATTTTTTTCAGATGAAATTGAGTGAGCAAGAAATTTTATATTACAAGAACAACATTATTCAAGACTTTACAATAATGGATTTGATGTAAATGAAAATTTCTTGAAAGACTTTATCTCAAACGATAAAAACAAGCAATTTGTCGCCAACAAAAAAGGCTTTTACTATCTGGTTCGTTGTATACTACAGTCTGTTGGGCTGTGCGAAGTAAGGTAACTAAAAGTGGTTTCATTTAAAATTATTTTATTACGTTAGATTTAAATAAATTTTTGTTACTAACTGTTTGATTTAAATAGGTTTAGTAATTGGAGATTTGGGTTTAATGTTGGAATTTGGTCAGTTCTTTTAATATATTTAAATTTATCAATCGTAAAGTTTCAGGTTTACATCTTGTAAATTCTTTAATGATTAGTAACTGGTAATAAATATCATGTTTACCTGCTTTACGCAGATCTATCTATTCTCTAAACATATGTAATAAATTCTTTATGAGTATTTATTAGTTTGTAAGCTTTTTACATAAATTCTAGTAATGGTAATATTACATATTAAACTTTTTTAAAATATTATGTATTTTGATTGGTTAATTATCATGGTAAATCACTACAAAATTAACCAATCATATGAATGTCTTCCTAATTTGTTCTATTATTACTATGGCAGTATGGATGAGATCGGTCCTCGGGAAAACTTTACTCGAAGTGTAATTTTTCTAAATTTGGGGATCGCTAAAGCGGGGTAAACCGAAGCTACATTTCATATTTGTGCTTTTTTGATGTTGTAGAGGTTACTACTTTATATAAATATCAAGAATACAATTATGCAGTATGTAAATTAATATCAATATATTGAATTTATCGAGAAATCTTTATTCAAGGTTTAGTCATTGCTTTTCTAAAGAACGGTGTAAATTTGAAACGAATGACTACCTAATAGAATTTGGAAAAAAAAATGTTTTTTTTTTAAATGAATTCTATAAATTTCGAATAAATTTATTGAAATTCGATTAATTCGATTAATTCGATTAATTCGATTAGGCGGTTATCAAGAAGCTTCCATTCAAAGTTCTCCATGTTTATTTTTAGTACGTGCATAGCAGATGTAAAACACGTGAATTGATATGTATCTGGAGATTTACCCTATTGGTTGTTACTGTTTTATAGAGGATACACAACATTGAAAGAACAACCAATCATAATTAACATTTAAATCTAGATAATTTAATTTCTCTATTCGGTAATTCATTCATTATTTTTATACAATAACAGAATAATAAGTGTAACCTAATTAAAATTCGCTGGTTGTCTCCTCAATACCTGAGAAATGAAATGTTAATTGTTGAACTTTTAAAAAATGTTATATATGTAATATCTGATATACAGTATTTAATATGCAAACTTGAAATTTGGCAAAAATGCATTTAAATTTCTTGGATTTTCTGACTCTTAAGAAGTTTCTTAAAATCTTTTTTATTCATTCCTGTTATACAGTAATCGTATTGTATTTATGGAAATTTATATTGTAATACCGATACGAGTCAATTTAGTATTTTTGTTTATTTTTTGTGCTTGGTTCTATTTGAAAAACGGTTTCCTTATTTAAATAATAGCTGCTTACATATAAAATATTATATAATAAAGTTTCGAATTCATATAACGCTCGACGTAGCTCGATAAGAAACTACAAATACGGGTAATTATTTTTGAACCCGGTCCAATTTTGGTCTGAATTCAAAATAATACCCATACATTACATATCATGCTAGTACAAATAAGGACAATGTGGATATAATTATATAAACCTTTTTTTTTTTGGAAAAAAAAAATTCTTGGTTAACGTTAAAACTCTGAAAATCACTTGAATTTCGAACGGTCTTGAGATCATCACGAAATAGAAACTCATACTATACTCTCTCATAAAGATCTTAAAAAATGAGTCCACCACAACTAATAACAGAGAAGGAGGTATTTCTACCTATAACCAATCCAAAACACAAAATGATACCGCGAGGTAAATTTAACAAGAGCTTCATAATAGATTTAAGTGGACAGTGTCGTTTAGATTAAAAATTTGGAATTATATATATATATTTTCAAAATTTTATGTACAATTCATGAATAATATCTATACACTAATATATATTTTTTTCGATCGTCAGAAACGCAAATATTAGGACTCACGCGAAAGCAATTATCGTTAGTCATTCTTGTAATTCAAAATGCATCACTGGTATTAATGATGCGATATTCTAGAATTCGACAAAAACCTGGTGAAAACATGTATATAGCATCTACTGCTGTGTATTTAGCAGAAGTTCTAAAGATAATTGCATGTCTTGGTGGGCTTTTATTTCAAAAAAAATCATTTGGACGATTTTGGTATGTAATGCAAAAGGAAATAATTGAACAACCAAAAGAAACATTTAAAATGTTCATTCCATCAGCATTATACGCTTTACAA